AGAGTTTTATAAGATACCCAGATCCGCTACCGCAGCTCATCGAGCTTGCTGGTATATAATCAGCGATGTCCTCGAAGCCGGCTAAATCAAACATTGTCACAACCCCATCATATACAACTAAACACAATAAGGCGACAGAAAAAACCTTATTGCAAACAAGGCAAAACAGGCAGAGGTTCACATCCGCACAGAAAAGCCGGGAAGGAGCGCGACTAAGGAAAACACTGACTGCCGCTCATCCCTAGTGGCTTTTCGTTGCCACACGGCTTGCACGTCACGCAAATTACAGAGTCCCGTAAACATTCACTCGAAAAACATTCGCCCGCTGCCTCCGGGACTGTACACTTCGACCTAGTTGTTAGGAGGAAAACAGAGTGATTGAGAACGCTGCAGACGGGAGGAGCGGCGGGGAAGCGGCGGATAAGCTTGCTGTTATTTAAGGATCTACAGTGACTGTTGCTGCCCTCGGTCGCAGCGGATGTGGGCAAACTGCGTTATCCACACGCCATCAGATGCGCGCACAATCAACCCTTTTGCAACGTCCTCAGGCTAGAGAGAGAGAGAGAGGAGAGGAGGCAAGTTATGTCGATATGAAAGGGTTTCAAAGCACGGAAGGGCAGGCTGGGGAGAAGTCGATCGAGATGGCTCGACCAACAAAAGAGTTCAGTCGGCGAAATAGCACTGAGAACGACCACCACCGTTGCCCTCCATTCTCACACACGCGTCGGTATCACTACAAAAGCCGGTTTACTGCTTGTAAGGCAGGGGCGGATGCGGAAAAACCCAGAAAGGAAGGGCGCAAAAAGGGAGCAAAACAGGGAAGGGGAGGGGGGGGGAACAGCGCGTCAAGTCACGAACACACAACCGCCGCTTTCTGATGTACACCCTATCTCGCTTGCCCGCCCATGGTAGCTAAGGCTAACGAAACCTAAGGCACAATAACTAACGTGAGGACGGTAAACATGACGAGGTGGAAAGATTTAGGAAAGGTCAGGGACTACGTTGTTATGCCGGCGGATGGCCAAAAGGCATGAAACTACGGTATCCTTCTGTCGCTAGTAGTAGTAACAGTAGCAGCACCACTCCCCACCAAAACGACAAGGTAACTTATAAAGAACAATGGAACGCCGAAATACTATTCCAACTGGCAGAACTAAGAACGCAGGGAAGTC